CTACACCCCTACATATCTTAACACACACTGCGGAATTAAGTTTACAGTTCACTCCATTTCCCTTAACAGATACATGATATTATGTGATTCCCAACAATAATACAAATATTATGTTTTGGACATTATCTATCGCCTTGTCTTTATTTCTCAAAACACAACGTTTCGGAGACTGGATTCTGTCTCCGTCTTCAGGTGAAACCTACTCATTTGGGTCCAATCTATAGAGGTAGTCCCTATCTCTGAAACGTTGTGTTTTGAAAAATAAAGTGCACGCTTTTTAGATAAAGACAAGACGATAGATAATGTCCAAAAACATAATATTTGTACTGATGTACCGTCGTCACAAACTTTTAGATCTTATCGCAACAATGGGATTAGAATTTCCCACCTTGCATCTGTTTCGCAACAGTGATGTTTGTTAGCGCTCAACACTTGTCTCAGTATTTCGAGGGTACTTCACTGTCTGGTCGTGTCTAATTATATCGATGTTATGTGTGCACTTTTATAGTGTAACTATAAAGTAATTATGGGGATGGGGGCATTGAAAGACACCTGGGGGGGGGAAGAAGTATCAAGAGGAATTCATGAAGCGTGGGTTTACCTCAGCCGTTATTAATGGCGAAGAAAGACCGCAAGGTGTGATATGCTGTGAGGTGCTGGTAAATCAGTTTTTCAGGGGAAAAAACACGATATCAAAAAAGAAAACACAATTCTTTGGATGATCGCGTCTCAGAATTCTATAGAACAAAAGGGTGAAATTGTAAAGAAAACTTACTTACTCATGGAGCTGAGCCCTTCTTGAGGAGCCGCCAATTCTGCAGCTACTTAAGAATTTCCCAGCATTTTATGGAACCCGAAGGTTCATTACCGTGTTCACAAGAGCCCTCCACTGGTCTCTATCCCGAGCCAGATCTATCCAATCCATAGCATCCCATCCTATCTCTCTAAGATCCATTGTAATATTGTCCACCAACCTACGCCTTGGTCTTCCCTGTGGTCTCTTTCCTTCTGGCTTTCCCAGCAATATCCTATACGCATTTCTCGTCTCCCCCATTCGTGCTACATGACCTGCCGACCTCATCCTTCTTGACTCGATCATTCTAATTATATTTGAAGAATAATACAAGTTATGAAGCTCCTCATTATGCAGTTTTCTCCAACCTCCTGTCACTTCATCTCTCTTCGGTCCAAACATTCTCCTCAACACCCTGTTCTCAAACGCCCTCAGTGTATGTTCCTCCCTTAATGTCAGAGACCAAGTTTCACAACCATACAGAACCACAGGCAAAATTATAGTTTTGTATATTCTAATTTTTATGTTTTTGGACATTAGATTTGATATTTATGGATCTTACCAACATAAAATGCTGCTACCGTTGAATCTTGGTATTCATTTGCACAAAAATTTGCAAACGTTTAAAAACCACACCCGGTATAGGAAAAATTAATGCTCACTTTGTTAAAAATATAGATTTTTCTCTTCTCTACAGCTTCCAGACAGGCTCTGGGCCTCATCCACTTTACTGTGCAATGGGTACTGGGGGCTCTTTCCCCCGGGCTAAAGCGGCAGGGACGTGAAACTGATCACTCACCTTCATCTAATGCCGACTTTAAGAATGGTGGATCTTTATCTCCACTCCCCACGTGTCTTCATGGCCTGATGCTTAATTAATTAAGCACAGGGACAGCTTGGTATTTTATATGCAGACTGTGCCAGACATTTTAGATTAGATTAACGATACCCAAAAATATGGTACGATCAGAGATTGGAATCATGTCTACGAATTTCGAATAGAACTGTGTGTATGTGTGTGTGACGTGGAGCAATGGACCGGATTCTTCAATTTGTTTTTCCAAATAAGTGAAAAACCGCCCGATATATTTGTGTTGCTTCGTGTGTGTCTCATTGAAACGTGAACATACCAGGCGCGCTTTTGATTATGAGCACTGATGCAGCCTAGATGGTGAGACAGGAACAGCGTCTCATTATACGACTGTTAAATCTAAGCATTTCGTGTTTCCAGTCTTTCAGAGCGCTGAGATAATGAAGCTCTTCATTATGTAATATTTGTGGGATGTCGTATGAATGAAGAGACTGACACTGTAACTCAGTGTATCTTCTTATGTAGCCTTGAGTCGGACATATAGAAAACGGTTACGTAATAGGTACTGCTGTTGTCAGATACTGTGTTTACAAGTTCCCTAGCAACCGCTGTTTACTCATTGTTGCTAAGCAATGACGCTTGCGTTGTCACACTTGCTTGAATGTGGGCAGTTCCCACACATTCTTCTCTGTATCGTTTTTATTGATGTCTCGTTTGTCCAGCAACATCACTAATCTATGTTCTTCTCTCAACAAACATTTTTTGATTTGGCATAAAAATTGAAATACGAATCCTGAAAAAGAGCTTTCCGGTTTTTAGAGGTTTCTACCTGCAGTTTGCCAGTTATTGTCACGTACGGCTATGTCTGCCTGACCGCCTTTGTGGTCTAGTGGTCAGAGTTCCGGCCTACAGATCCAGAGGTCCCGGGTTCTATTTCCGGCGCTACCAGATTTTCTGACAAGTAGTGGGTCTGGAACGGGGTCCACTCAGACTCGTGAGGATAACCGAGGAGCTATTTCAAGGAAACAGCCGCTCCGGGCTAGATACCCGAGATCAACGGCCGTGGGGATCCGTTGTGCTGGCCACGCGACACTCTCTGTCCGCTAAAGTTGGCACTAACTTAGGCGAAAAGCGGCGGTCGCTCGGTCGGTATAGTTCGCTTGCGGACTACAGACCATGGAGTTTGTTTTTGTTTGTACGGCTATGCCTGCCATCGGTTCCTCAAAAGATGATACTACTTGGTCCTGATAATATTCACACGATAAAAAGAACGCACAATTAAATTAAAATGAGAAACATTAAGAGCAACAAAGAAAGGAAGTGGCCTTGGTGAGTGATATTCAGTTGGGTGTACACCAAGATACATTTGTTTACATTGCTGTGTGAGTGCCTTAGTGAATTAAGATGCAGTTTTGTTTACTTAACCCTTCACTGTCCGCATTCAGCAGCTGCTAAGTGCAGACTGTATCTCTACTCTGGGAATGCGATGCTTTCAACTTTATCATCTTGTGTCCTGATTTACTGCATATCCGAGGCACTCACCATCGCATTTCTGGTGTCTGTCTCCGTTGTCTTACCTCAGGAGAACAAATAGTAACGTAGTAGACTGCACCTTAAGACCACTTCCTTGTCGAGGCCGCATTTCTAAATGCGGGTCGTGAATAATTCTATCGGAGTGAATTTAATTTGAAAGTAAATACTGATCATGGACAGATCAACGATATGTGAATACGTTGCACATCTTACTAGATCTATGAGTCATGGTTTAATTTCATTAAATTAATTTCTTCTCTTCCCTCCCGAAAAGAAACCCAAAATCTGCTTTCAATTGTGGCACTGCGCGACTTCCTGCCTTCATCACGTTGTGAATCCTGCCACGAAGCTGGATAATATTCAAAACATATTTTGTTTCTCGATATCTGGGTTCGATTACTTAAAAGACGCGTTCCTAATGTAACTGGGATTGGAAGACAAAAATAAATGCATACAAAATTTTGTAGGTGAAACCCCTTCGGAGAATGATCAGTTGGAAGACCGACAAGGTTATTGCAAAATAACATCGTGACTGATGTTGGGTGAGGTAGTTTGTAAAGGGGGAAGTGAGTAGAATTGCCTCAAGATCGTGTTCAGTGGCGAGTTTTTGGTATTACCTTATTGACAGTGACGGACCTTCGAGTTCTGCCAATAGAATGTCAGTGAGTGTTAGTTACTGTTGCAATAAAACGAATGTTCGAATTATGGTGTTCCACAGGAAACTAAGGAAAGGATTCTGATGAATAATTCATGCAATAAAAGAGACGTTAGGCAAAGGCCATAGCGGAAAATAACCATTAAATGGCGAGCTGAGGACCTGGAACAAAATTGGCTAAAATATTTTGAACTTGAACCAAAAATATACGGGGTTCAAAATTGAAAACGCAGAATACGTAAAAAGCCTGCAGTGAAAATTAAACAAGATAAGAAATTAAGAGAAGAACACTGTTAATTTTGTTGCTGGAAGTGCACAAATTATCACTGAACATTAATTACAATAATATGTACCATTACTAAATATACATCGATGCAGAAGTCCAAAAAATGTGTGCCCATGTGATCGACGTGTAGGATATATCAGCAACGAATACATAAATTACCGTTTCTGAAGCTACGTGTAAGCGTTTCATATAGTAACGAGTGTGTGGCACGAAAATCATCCTAATGGCTTTCGAGGCATGTGATAAATGTTCAAACCCTTGCCGGAGCCACTCTGAATTGAAGCTTAAGAGTTACCATTTCAAGCACCTTCCGAAAGCCGAAGTCACACATTACAGTACTGAAATTGTCAGGTTAATTATGAAAGCCTCCAAATAACTCATGATATAATTTAATATTATATAACTATTTTCTTGCTGAAATCATTTAAAATTAATATTTTTATTACGATGTTCTATATTCACGGACAGTGCATTTAAGTGAAACGAAGTAAAATGACATTTAAATTGGCTCATCTTCTAATATGTCATTAGTTTAATTAAGAAAATGTAAGAAATTTAATAATATTGTTTGTTTTTTATTGGTCATAATTCCAATTTAATATCTTGCTTGTAATACTTTGACGCGACAATCTTTGGACAATATGCACAGCAATAAATTATACATACACTCTACGAACTCGTTCGTCATCGCTCTCCAATTACGATAACACCCGCGATGCACGTGTTCTGGTTCTCACAGCAGCAACATGCGTGTGGGAGTTATATAAACGTGATAATCTTGTGCAAGGCGATCTGATGTCATGGAGTGCATGCCGTGATGAAGATAGTGGGAGGTGTGATTCTTACGTCACACTTCGCTCTGCGTCAGAGTCACACAACTACAATTTAAACTAGTTTCTTTACTTAAAGGATAACAACTTACCTTGCAGCTTTCCTATGTCTCATTTCACTGTTGAAGACCATCTTGTGTGTCCTAATCTTGGTTAGTATCACGATAAATCCCGTGGGAATGGGCGCCTCCACCATACAACCCCACTTTATTGTCCGACACGACGCGACAAATGCGATGTGTGAGAATGATCAATTAATACCACGACTGCCCATCAGGGAGAAGCACCAGTTTGCCTCTGAGTTTCAATCTCATGGTACAAGTTAACCTTCTAGATGGCAGCACTAAAAGCCATAGCCACTTGTACAGTGTACCGGTCTCTGCTGATATTTGACTAAATATGGCGTCTACTGTTTTTTACAACACTAATCTGCAGTAGTGTATAGAGTAATGAAAATATTGAGGGGTGTTCAGAAAGTCCAGGTCATTAATTACTGCAAGACGAAGAACATGTCCCTCACCTGGAATTATTTTTCCAGCAGTACGTTGTTTTCAAATACGCTCTGTTTCTCATATGAGCCAGCATTTGCACTGATAAAAGAGGGAAAAATATAGATGTGCTATGAACCCAATTCAGTCGCAGTTTTCTGAACGAAATCTTAATGGACTGCCACTTTTGGATTATGACTTGAAGCATTTTATTTCATTCGACAACGGGGGGCCAGTTGATATCTTATGACACAAGAGGCCACACATTTTCACACCTTTCTTGAGTAACTCGGCGTCTGAAATGATTCTGTTTTTGTTCACTAACTGTAATATGTATTATCAAAAAATTTTCAACCGCAAGTTTTCACGAACTTCCATTAATGATTAACATAATACCGAAATGTACATATTGTAAAACACTTTTTTTGGGGGGTAAAGAGAAACTTTGATTTTACTATAACGAAACTTGGATTTTTAACAAAATTTTTATCAAGTTCACAGAGCCATTCTGTCTTGTGTATGTGTGTATGTATGTACGTATGTATTGTAGCGTGGATGGACACAGCGCTGTTAGGTAACAGACCGGTAAACATATGTCACAGCAATGAATAAGCAACAGTGAGGCTTCCATTGTTAAGAAATGCATGGGTGGACACGCCTGGCAAAAATACATGATATCCGTTGCTGAGCAGCGATGTGTTTTCTGTGGGTGGTCCGTGCCGAGCCTATATATGGAGTAGTGAACACTGCCGGAGGAGGGGATTTGACAGGAAGACGTCGTTCAAAGCAACTCAGCAGTTGAGAGATTAGTGGCTCCTACACGGTTCAAGAGAAGATTATACGAGTAGCGAAGATAACGGACTGACAGACAGAATCCAACAGCATAGTCCAGGAGGCTACAAATGAAGATTAGAATTGAAGTGTGAAGACTTTGCTTTATGTGTTATTGTTCCAGTAATAATTTGGAGAGTTATAATTCTTTGTGGTTACAACTTATCCAATAAAACAGCTCCGCCAAATCCGTAATCCCTTAATTATTTATCACGGATACCCGAACACGTGACATGCATGTATGAGTAAGTATGGATGCATGTATATATCTCAGTGTACAGAAATGAGAGGGCCAACGTGCTAGTGGGGTAATGAGCTTAACGTGTACAAATGCTCACTAAAGAGGTTGTAGAAAAAATGTACCTGAAGTTTATTTCCATGAGCTTTATAAACAGAGACGGCTTTCGAGAGTAATAAAGTGAGGCCGACCAGAAGTGTTGCTATTAGCCAAATTTTATTTCTGATTAAACTAACATTACGTTATAATTTCGTTATCTGTTTTCCTATTCTCACATACATCACAATTTCTGAACTCTTTTATTTTACAGATAAACTAATTTTTAAGCAGTTGTATGTCGCTGACTGCACTCAGAATGCTGTCCAAGCTTATCTGAAAGTTATACAGTGTCATCACAGTGTTAGAAATGTCATTCTGCACGGTTCACATTCAAGTATATTTGATGTCCGATAATTCAAGGCAGCAGATTGTGTTAATGACCACTACCTGGTGGTGGCAAGGATAGGGAAAGACCGGCAGTGAGTAAACGAACAACGCACAGAGTTCACATAGTCTAGAATTTCAAAATTATGGAACAGTTCCTTTATTTGACAGGGGAAAAATTATTTGATACACAGTCATTCTAAATCTATAGCATTGATAACCCTACAGGTTAAATGAATAGCTCTTTAAAAGTATTCTAGCAAACCCAAGATCTAACTTGGAAGCCCCGAGCACAGCTATCGTTGTCTCTCCGCAATACAACCCTTTCAGTCAGAGATCTCAGTCCTTATTGTAAACTTAATGGTCGTCACAAGTCTATTACATCTTTTACCGTAATTAGTAATTTCGGTCTCCAAAATCCGAACTGAGGCTTGACTGACTGCAGCGGGTAGACTTATGTTTGATTTACATACATGAACACAGCTCAAATTCATGAAGATCGCGTGTGTACTGTTGTCCTGACCGCACATGTGACAGATTTTTGTTCAGGTGTAGTGACCGAGCGGAAAGTTTCGAATATTTTAACAGGTTATTATTACATGAAAAATTGTCAGTTGCTCAGTTCGCCAAGAAATATTAAAAATAAGACTGTTTATCACTGCCTTAAAAACGCACGCCATAGGCCTATATACTGAGCCGTTACATTTTCTTTATATCCTTCTTTTTACTTACAAGCCGGAAGGTCGTGGGATCGAATCCCGATGAGGTCATTTTTTTTTTAAATTTACCTAACCCTTACAGCCGCACTATGTCCTGGGTTCGACTCAGACTCTAACAGAAATGAGTACCAGGAATATTCTTGGAATATTCTTGTGGGTAAAGAGCGGCCGGCGCGTAAGGCTGACAACCTTATCGCCATCTGTGAGCCGATAGTCTAGAAAATGTGGGAACCTGAACGTCTCACAACCCTATGGGCCTCCACAGCCTGTTGCAGGGATAGCTTTACTGTTTTACTTACTTATCCTTCCTTTTACGCCTTTTTCTACAATACGATATTTTCTGTTGAATTTTCTCTACATCGTATATGTTATGTTTCATTGCCAGCTTATTCTCCTTGCTTTATTCTCCTTCACCGTTTCAGATGAAGAGCACAAATTGTTAAGGTCCTAATAATATCCAACTAGTACCGAGGTTAAGAAAATGTGATCCATACATCCACTCCCCCATACGCCTTAATTAGTACTTAATTAGTTAAGCACAGTGACTTTTTTTTTCCTTGGTACTACAGCCTCAGTGGGCCTAGGCCTACTTCCATGAACTCCGTTCACTTCGGTTTTTCTAGATCTTACACAGTCGGTAGGACTCCTTGGGCGAGTGATCAGCTCGTCGCAAGGCCTCTACCTGTACACAAACACAGAAAAACGCACACAAACATCCATGCCCTGACTGGGGTTCGAACCCACGATCCAGGCTTCCGAGCGAGCGAAGACAGTACATGCCTTAGACCGCTCGGCTACCGTGACTAGCAGTGTATAAGAATAATATATAAGAATTCAGTTCGTACCTCACAGGAAACAGATCCGAAACCACGATCCCGGCTTCCTAGCGAGCGAAGACAGTGCATGCCTTAGACCGCTCGGCTACCGTGACCGGCTTAGTGACTTTACCTTTCTTTACTTTACACTTGATGGGCTTCACTATATGCTTAGAATTTTGGTTGGAAATCTTGAAGGGGTGAGACCACTCGGAGGACTTAGGCATAGATGGGGCAATGACACTAAAATTGAACAGGGTGGGAAATGGATCAATTTGGCTTAGTAGCATAAAGCCATTTGCGGGATCTTGTGAAGGCGGTCATGAACCTTAAGTTTCATGAATGACTTAGAATTTCATGACTAGTTTAACGACTTTAGCTTCTCAAGAAGAACTGTGCTTTATAGAGTTAGACATTTTATTGTCTTATGGAGGGCTTTGTTTATTAATAAGAATTACATTACTTCTGAAGGTTATTCACCGCAGTGTTCTTGTATCTAGTAATTTCTTAGAATATAGCTCTGTGTCATCCGTGAAATTCTCCGCTACTCTTGAGGTACGCGTTTCCTCCATCAAGCAGAGTACATATCGTAAGGCTCATCCCCAGCTCACCTCATTAGATACTGTTGTATCGTTAACATGACATCTTAGATTTAGTCTGAAGTGAATAATTTGCCTTGGAAGTCTGTTTCGTAGGGTATGTACGTACGTATGTATTTATATATGTAAGTATGTGTGCACGCACGCACGCACCAACAAAATACTCGTGCGTAGTCCCTGAGAGAGGTGAGATGCAGCCCGGAACAGTCACAAATGTGGGCCCCCCACCCCAGTCAGAAAGTCATGTAAATATATGAGCATACTTAACAACAAAACAAAAACAAACTCCGTGGCCCGTAGTGCGCAAGCGAACTATACCGACCGAGGGACCGTCTCTTGTCGGCGAAGTTAGTGCCAACTTTAGCGGATAGAGGATGTCGCGTGGTCAACGAAACGGATCCCCACGGCCGTTAATATCGGTTTTCTAGACTGGATATATTTAACAAATACTTTAAAAATAAAATTTTGTCTCTTATTAAACTAAACGTTCATATATGTAATAGAAACTATTTACGGAATTCCCGTATTCTTGCGTACTTTTTGTTATTCGCTTCTGGGCTGTTAAATTTACACGTAAATAAATTAGAATTGAATTATTATTATTATTTGCATATATTTTTAAATTAAGTAAGAGTATATTTGGGGCCTCGCTAGGCCAGGGGCCTTGCTGTCCCACCCCTCTGTATGGGCCTACTCTTACGTCGTGAAGTATACTCGTATGGTTGCTTACCGTGTCGATATCACAATTTACCGTAAATCCTCTCTAATCCGAAGTAATTGGAGAGAGAGATCATCCCGATTAAGCGATAATCCAGATTAGTGAAGCAAGAGGTAGCTCTAAGAGACAAGAAGAAAACTTAGAACACAAATAAACGGACATTTAATGATACACGTATAAGAAGTGCTGATGAAAGTAAACAACAAAATATTACTGTAGAGCCTTAATTTAAAAACTCTGAATAGACAATACATTTATTTATCGACAGAAGCCTCAGAAGTTTACTTGCTTTTGTACGTAGTATTGCAGGTTAGAAGAAACCGTTAAGTTTTGCCTGAACAGACAAGTGACTCATCTGCCTTCCTAAATGCCATGTATCTTTTAAAA